GAATTGTCTTAGTCTCATTCTAATCTACTGGTGTCACTTCCATTTAACCAGATGGAAACTATGGGCAAATATCAGTGCTATTTTCACATGCCCCAACTTACTTTGTTCACAGTAGTTTTTAAAACCCTTGCTGATCTGAAATGAGTATAAGATTTATTTATTTGTTTAAAGATCAATTCATTTGCTCTGAAGCGGGTTTTTGAGCTTGGACTACTGAGAGTAAGACTATTTTGAAATGATTAAATAATACTTCTTGCTAGGACATAAATCACAAATACAACAAATACTAATCACACTCATCAAATCTACTTATTTGAATACTGGGTAACAAAAGTATGCAATCACCTGGCTATTAATTTTGTCTGAAAATGCAAGAGATTCTCCCCGTTTATAGTTAAAGTTCCCTTCGTTAATACATAACAAGGAAGAAACACAAAGGCAAGTAAATTATCCACAAGTACAACAGTCTCTTGAGAAGGATACACAAAGAATCTGTAATATACAGATTAAAAAAATCCCGCTTTGTTCTTAGCTCAAAAAGTAATGAGTTAGATAACTCATAAGAGTGAGCTATAGCAGGCGATTAAAAACAGACAAATGAAGCGCCAAGAAAGTGTAGAACATCCTAGTTCTTGACCCATACTTATTTTGGTATACTTGTGCAGCCTGAGCATTGAACATGCTTGAAAAATCAACTTTATAGACTAAATTCAATGCAGTTTTCTAAACTGCAAACACAGAAAAATACAAGGAGAAAACGACTGAAATATTGAGTCAGTCATTCTTGGCATGTTTATTAATACTCTACGTGCTCTCTCACACATCATGAATAAAATACCTATACAGATTCTATAGTTCCAAATGAGGGGAAAATATGAAAGTTCCCAAATTCACTCAAGTCACATGCACAACAGCTGCAGTACAGAGTACTGAACAAAGCTTCTAGTTTGAGAAGAAGAGGTGGAGTGGAACAAAACGATGCCTCTTCTTGCATCTGTGTGTGCAACTGCCATAGAAGTGAGCAGCTGCTGCTGTCATTGAGACCTATGAAAGCCAAGCCAGAAACAGCCCATGTGTTTCAAGTGCTCAGGCTACATAATAAAAGTACAGTTTCTATTGATGCATCAAACTAACTTAAGGTATGAAGTGTTTAATCACAGTGCTATTCTGCTGAAAACATAAATGGGATTTTAAAAGATAAGCAGGGTTACCAAGAAGGAAACAAAAAAGTTAACTTTAAGCTTGCCCACGTGAGCTCAAAGGTGCCTTGAAAAAATGTTACATTTCCTTACAGTAGTCCAGCTACTGCAGAGTATCTATAGATCTGCATATTGTAATCACACAAAACTCAGAGAGCACTCTCTTATTCACACAGCAAGAAGCAAGTGAATCCTGTTGACTGCACTTGAACTCCTCACACCCTTTGTACACAGTGTTGCATGCCTCACCCTTCAAAATACTTTCTTTTCTTTAAGTCTAATTTATTTTTCATCATATCAACACCCTGAAATACACAGATGTGTGGACCTCTAAGGAGGAAGCTGTGACACAGCAGCTCAGTTTTAGGTTGGTGTTAGACCATAAATAAAGGTAAGTCTCCTATCACAACTGGCAATAGTTTCACATCAGAGGACTGCTCACCTATGCAGTGCTCCTAAACTATGCTTTAACTTATTAAATATTTTGTTACCATTACCCTTAAAAGGCCACAGTATTTGTATTGGCTAACAAGGTAGTTTTCAGCAGTAGTAAGGCTTTGCCTGGGCTTGTCTTGGCCAGCCGGGTGTCTTTCTTCAAGAGCTTAACTACAGTTCTGACCAGGTACCACTTACTGCTTTTGTTCAGCTTCCTACAACTGAATGGCATGACACTCCTGTATTGGCTTTCTTTCACTAACAAGTACATTTTAGTAAGAATGAGCTGCTTCTAACGTTGAATAAAAAAAGCAGCACAGAAGATCAAACAAGAGAGGGATGATAGCAGAGTCCTTGAAAACAGAGGCACAGGAAGGTGTGAAACGCCCCAGTGCAGTGAACAACTCATCTATAGCCAAGTAGTGATCAAAGAAGTGCAATCTGAAGGGATGAGTAAAACTAGTTTTAGGATAACAAAGAACAATTTTCCAACATACGTTGAACATATCATATTCAGTAAATTCAGATTAAAGGTGGAGAAAAAGAGTATTTTATATTATTCATATAACTATTAATATCATTGCAACTGGACTAATACTTACTAGGAACTTAAGCAGCTTACTTTGTAACTCAGATGCAACAAAACTGTAACAGAATTAAAACAAAAATCCATGGATTTCCATGCATTAAGTCAACAAGGAAGAAAACGAAACAAGAACAACAACAAAACAAAACACTAAGAAGAACATGCTAAACATGTATGACTGCTGTACTCAACTCTACACACAAACCATATTAAACGTCACCCCAGGGACAGAAACATCAGGTTTAGGATATAAGAGAGTGGAGAGGAAAAGTGGGGGATGAGAAAGGAAAAGAGCCTGAAGGAGAACAGGGAGGTAAGAGATGTGAAGCTGTGTTCCTCCTCCTCCACCAAGACAAGGACACCTCTTTGGTAAGCACTGTGCCACCCGCTGGGTGAAGAATGCTTAGGCTGGTCTGCATCTTGCTACCACTACCATTGTGCATTAGCGCTACTGCAGCTAAATGATAAATAATAAATAGCAGCAGAATTTATTCATGGCAGCCTGGAGCCTGTTATATCTATCACTACAGTAACTCATCTATTCTTTTTAAATGTTTGTAATCTGCTCCATGACAGACCTTGTGAGGGGGCTCTGTCCAACTGTAAAGGCAAAGTCCAACTGTACTCAGCATAACACACTACTAACTACTAATTGGCTTTCTCAGACTCACTGAAACTACAGAAACAGTACAAAGACTAAGAATGTATAAACTAATCTCAGATCTAGAAGCACTGAGGACAATGGCATATAGACACCGAAGTAGCCCCATGTACAGTTATCTTTCATGCATAATTGCACTGGGACCACAGAACTGTTTTCAGGTCCAAAGTGACACAGCTATGTGGCACAGTATTCAACACACAAGCAAACAGGCAGGCATGCACCATCTCTGACTAGAGACTCATTATTTGATGTACACTTCCCCTGTTTCCCAATTTACAGACTTGAAGGAAAACCTTGTTCAGGTAGCTTTTGTGATGCTGTATGAAGTAATGGTCATCTGAAAAGCTATTAGGCATTACCACACAGTTCTTTTGGAGAAACTATCAAGCAGCAGCAATAAGCTACTGTAGGAATTTCAACAAACTACTTGTCATTTATCAGATATACCAGTTTCTCAGAAAACACCCGTTAAGTTACTCCTTTGACCAAATGAAAGAACACAGATTGAAAAAAAAAAAAAAAAAAGATGACGGCCTAAGTAATGGTAGCTTTTCCACACTTCAGAATACTCCGCCTATAAAACACAGACACAAAACAGGAAACACTTCAAAATGCAAAGAAGCATTTACAGTGTTGCTGCCTAGCCAGGCCGGTAACCATAACCTATGTCACAGACAAAGCAAAAAGCAGCCACCCAGTCATTTCAGACTGCACTTAAAATCCCTTGCTGAAAAACAACGTGAGTTCATAATCTGCACACCCTGCACAGTGACAGGAAATAGGGTACTGGAATCACATAATCAATTTCTTGTTTGCAGCTGCACTTGAGAGTTGCTCTGCATTTTGAGACTAGGAACTAAAAACAAAACTCTGTACATGTTACTTTGCTAGAGTTTAACTCCAGTCTTCCCAACCTATAGGGTGTTAGAAAGCATGTCCAATCTACTTCGAGGCTTCTACCAACTAAAATAGGTTACAATACAAAGCCAATTGCATAAGACTATTCTACTTAATGTCCTGATCTGGCACACATTGCAACTCCTATTCACGCCTGAACCAGTGCAGACTCAGTAGGTCCTAGTGCCTGCAACCAAATATTTCACACTAAAGGCTTTTCCTAACAACCGTAACAAGAAAGATTCACAGGGATAAATTGCATGCTTCTGAATCATGAGAACAGCTTTGCTATATTTTGAGAACAGCCCTTCATATAACCTGAGTGGATACAAGCGGAACGAGAAGAGGCTTGTATAAATGTAAGATCAAGAACAGAATGCAGAGGAGGCCGTGGAGCTTGTTGTCAAGCGAAGAAAGTAGAATAGATGTCCTGTTGTTGAAGATAAGATGGCAAAACAGTTGCTTCAGCTCAATGTGATACAAGTGGGAACTGGTACGGGCTACCCTCCCTTAAAAGGTTGGAAGTTTACAGCAAGAATGACTATTAGCCTTCATCCCATGACTACCAGAGATGTTAATTATTTCTTGGAACTTCTGCCCATGTCCTTGGAGTGTAACGGACAAGTAAGTATATGCTATGCCTTTAAATATGTAGTAGTTCCCCTCTTCGATGTGCATGTTGGTGGAGCGATCCCCCACGCATGCACCCAGCGCTGTAATAAAGGGAATACCTGCTTGACATAACTGATTGGTGTGTCAAGTCACTTTGTCAGTTTTCCCGGCTTCACTTCTTAGAGGTGAACAGCACGTAGAGCAGACAAAACTGAGAGGCGGCTACCAAATCTACAACCAACTTGGCGGCATGGAAAACCGACCGCCGAGTATTTCAGCATCTGTTTGGTAGAGCAACCCAGGCAGGCTGCCTCTCGAGGAGTCCAGCAAGGCCGCTCGGTCCCCGACACGGCAGCGTGACTGCCCTCGGCTCTCCAACCGCTGAGGATTCAGAACAAAACCCCGCAGCTGTGGCGGCGGCAGGCCTTTTCCCTAGGCGGGAGAAGCCGGCAGCCACGGCGCAATTTCTGGCGCAGCCACAGCCGCCCCCGCGCAGGACGAATGCCGCCGGCGGAGCGGGCACCGCCGCGAGCACCGCCAGCCGGGCCCAGCGGCGCCCAACGCGTGGCGGCGGGGCCGGGGCGCCCGCCAGCCTTCCCGCACTCACCGCTTCACGACGCCGGTTTTGATCTTGATCTGCCTCAGGCGGGGATCGGCCATGGCGGGGCTGCAGAGCGGGCCGGGGCCCTACGGCGCACGGGCGGAGGGCTCAGTGGGAGCGGCGAAGGCCCGTGACTGAGCAACACGGCCGTCCGCATGCGCCGAACGGACGGCAGCCTGCACGGCGGAAAGGAGAGGCGGGGTGAAGGGGGGGCGGCGCTCCGCGGAGCCGCTCCCAGCTCTTTGGTCCCCGTGCGGCTGCTCCGGGCTGCGGCGTGAGCAGAGGGGTAGCAAGCTAGAGAAGTTTTTCTGCCCCGAAATAACTGAGAACGCAACAGCAGCGCTGTGGCTTCAGCCTTAGTGTTATTACTGAACGGCAGTTTAAGGCTTTCTTCCTTTGTGCTTGTAATTAGTTGAAGCTAAGGCTCACCAAGTGGGCCAGTCCCTGCAAGGCTTTGGCTAAGCTCTTTAAAATCTTTACCAGCGACCTAGATAGTGGATTTGAGTGCACGCTGAGCAAGTTTGCTGGTGACACCAAGCTGAGTGGTGCAGTTGATGCCATGGAAGGGAGAGATGCCATCCAGAGGACCTGGAAAGGCTTGAAAAGTGGGTCCTCATGAAACAAATGAGGTTCAACAAGGCTAAGTGCAGGGTGTTCCACTTGGGTCATGGCAAACCCAGATATGAGTACAGATTGTGAGAAGAACTCATTGAGAGCAGCCGTATGAAGGAGAACTTAGGAGTTCTGGTGAACAAAAATCTTGGCACAAGCCAGCACTGTGTTCAGCAAAGTGCAAGGTTTTGCACTTGGGTCAGAGGAATCTCTGGCATCTATACAGACTGGAAGGAGTGGTCCTTGAGAGCAGCCTTTCAGAGAAGGACTTGTGGGTCTTGATGGATGAAAATGAGCTGCAGTGCTCTTGCAGCTTGGAAAGCAAATGGTATCCTGGGCTCTATCAGAAGAGGGGTGGCCAGCAGGGACAGGGAGGTGATTGTCCCCCTCTACTCTGCTCTTGTGAGGCCCCATCTGCAGTACTGTGTCCAGGTCTGAAGACCCCAGTACGAGAAAGACAGGGAGCTGTTGGAGAGGGTCCAGAGGAGAGCCACGAAGATGATCAGGGGACTGGAGCAGCTCCCCTACGAAGATAGGCTGAGGAAGGCAGGCTTGTTCAGCCTGGAGAAAAGAAGGCAGCGGGGTGTCCTCATTGCAGCTTTTCAGTACCTAAAGGGAGCCTACAAACAGGAGGGAATCAACCCTTTGAAAGGATAGGTAACAGCAGGACAAGGGGAAATGGTTTGAAGTTGAAGGAGGGAAGATTTAGGTTGGATGTCAGGAGGAAATTCTTTACTGTGAGGGTGGTGATGTGCTGGAATAGCTGCCCAGACAGCTTGTGGATGCCCCGTTTCTGAGGTGTTCAAAGCCAGCTTGGATGAGCTCTGGGCAGCCTGGTCTAGTATTAGATATGGAGGTTGTTGGCCCTGTCTGTGGCAGGGGGGTTGGAGATTCGTGATCCTTGAGGTTCCTTCCAACCCTAGCCATTTTGTGATTATGTGTGCACTTATAGCCCAGAAGGCTGACAATATCCTGCAATGCATTATAAGAGGGGTGGCCACCAAGGAGAGGGAGTTGATTGTCTCCCTGTACTCTGCCCTTGTGAAGCCCCTGCTGGAGCACTGCATCCAGGTTTGGGGTCTGTAGCACAAGACAGACATGGAGCCTTTCGAGAGGACACAAAGATGATGAGAAGGTTGAAGCCTCTTCCCTGTGAAGTCAGGCTGATGGAGCTGGTTTGGTTTGGAGAAAAGAAGGATTCGGGGAGATCTCGTTGTGACCTATCAGTACTTAAAGGGAGCTTATAAACAGAAGGGAGACTGACTTTTTACACAGGCAGATAGTAAAAGGATAAGCAGTAACAATTTTTGCAGCATTTGATGCACAGACTCAGATGGGAATGATCCAAATTATTTATTACAAGTTCTCACATCACTTATATACCTTCACAAATTTTCTTTTTCTAGCTTTCCTTTCCACCTCTACAACTTTCCCATCTACCTTTACATGTCAACAGAGCATTCTACAAAACACTCTTCAATCTTTCATGCAGGTATTTGTCCAATCAGAGCCATGAGACATTCTTTCTTCTTCTGGAAGTGTCCTTGGTTCTCATGCTGTTTATCTTGCTCCACAGCTGCTGCTCTGAACAGTTTTTCTTGTATTCCCACAAGTTTTAATCTAAATGGGGGAAATTTACATTAGATACTAGGAGGAAATTTTTTACTTGGAGGATGGTGAGGCACTGAAACAGGTTACCCAGAGAAGCCGTGGGTGCCCCATTCCTGGAGGCATTCAAGGCCAGGTCAGATTGGTTTCTGAGCAGCCTGATCCAATGCCTGACTTAGTGGTTGGCAGCCATTCCCCTGGCAGATACCATGCTTCAAGCTTTATTCCAATCCAAGGTGTTCTGTGATTCTATTGTAAGCTGGGTAGGCACTTGCAGTATTGAATTCACAGGAGCATTATCTGAGGTAAGTCTGTGCTCTAAGAATCATGGTTGTTCCATTTGCCCCATGTGGTCTCTGAATTAGCAGTCTGGTCTCCTGCTTCAGTCAGTGGAAGAGGCTGCCCCCTCTCCTGAATGTCTTGAGGTGCCCCCTTAAGTGCATATATTTCTTTGTTGTCTCTGTGAGGAGACGTAGGTTTTCAAATCAACCTGAATAATGCCGTATCTGTCCTCTGTACAGACATTTACAGATGAGCTGTTTATCTGATACACAAACCTGACACCTTTTGTGCAATGAGGAGAGAGAAGCATCATGGTTGGTGCAAGATAGCATGTGCCCACTCCCTTCCTTCAGCTGAAACCCAGATCTTCTCAGCCAGGCTTGGAAAGTTATAGCAAGTTGTGGTGGGGATAAATGCATTCTCTCAGCAGCTCCAAAATAGTAGGATGTCCACTTGTGCTATGAACCATTTAGAAATACAAACCAGCACAAGTAGCCTGCATTACTGCTTTGGGCCTAAAATGTTGTCTTTTCAGTATTTGACATGATTGTAGCAGAACAACAAATATCTGTAGGGAGATTAAAAATGTCCTAGAAACTGCAGTATTCATGAAAGTAACTCTTTGTTTCAAGCACTACAAATTTTTCAATTTTAGCCCTGAAACATCAATTCATGTCTCCAACAGTGTGCAGGGAGGCAGCGCACTTCCCTACAAATAGAGTCTGGCTGATATACTGGGCTCTCCATTGCTCTCAGGAGGGAATTGAGTATGACAATTATCCTTCTTTCCTTCTTGATGGAGGCAGTCTTAAGGCATGGAGTAAACCACTTCATCCTAGATAACCTCCAGGGTGGACCTTCCACCGCATCCTCACTCACCCCTCCCTCAAGACCCAGAATCTCAAACATACTATGTAGGGGCTAGGGAATTGAGGTAGGTGGGGATGAGGTGACACCAAATTAGGCCCTGTTTCCACCTTTACTCATTTCTTAAATCCCCTTCCTTTCACTGACCATGGTAGAGCAGAGGATCCACCGCTGTTTGTGTGGTAGTGCTCTGGTGCCCTTCTTGCAGGTAAATTTATCATAAGCAGTAGTCCTAAGTCATTTTGCTGTTTTGCTAAGTGCTGCTAGGAGGTGGGTGCCTGAAGATAGTTTCCTAGTGCTCCAGCTATGCTGATCTATGGAACAGATGATGCAAATTCATGATATTTCCTTGACTATAGTAGTGGAGTTACTGAAATAACAGGGCCAGATCTTTTGTTGGAGTGGAGTGTTTTGTGATATACCACTAGTTCATCTGGAATACAGAGCCAATACTAGGTGATGTTCAAATTAAAAGCCATACAACACCTATGCTGCTGAGGCCAGAGTGTACCGTGCAGAAGAAGGTGCAGTCACCTCTAAAATCTACTAACCTCAGTGGCAGTTTCCATCTTGTTGTTGGGTTTGACAGCTTGAAAAAAATATGTCCATGGCTGTGCCAAAAGTGTGCTCACTTCATCTGAGACTACTACTTTAATATTTAAATGCTAAGTGAGATTTTATACTATTTTGTTTATCCATCAAAACCATCTGTGCAGCCTGAATATAGTTTCATTTTCATTTATAAGAAATCAAATTGTAGAAATTATTTAGTCTTCAAATTCTATTCTATTCTGTAGGAAAATATAATTTCATTCAGCCTCCCTAAAGAGTAATAGATAAATAAGATTAGATTTTGAATAAAGGTTAGCAGTATCTCAATTTTTTTTTACAAATTCAGTAGATAAAATTAACCTCTGTACAGCTGGCCAGCACAAAGCTAGGGAGATTGAAGTGCACAAGAATTAATCTCCCTGGTTAGAGCCTGGACTTGCAGTGTAAATCTCCAGATCTTCTTTCTTATGAGATAATCATCATTCTTGAAAATGATCTTCCAAAAACACCACTCACCCTCCAGATGCCTAGGTAGTTTTTCAGTGTCACAAGTGTAAGCAAATGCCATAGGTTATTAGCGCACTGACATGGCATGAATAAAGGTAAAAAGGGTTGCAGCAGTGGCGTTTGCAATGTACCCACTGAACACAGGGAATCAAGTGGGAGCTGGTTATTTTCTTGCAGGAGAGGCTTAATTGCACTAGAAAATTATGTGAAAGAGAAATGGCCTGCTGGGCAGAAGCTGAAAAATTTTGAGGTAATGTCCATTCTCACTTCCTCCTTTGTAGTTTCACCAAAGACCCCAGGAATTGATTCAGATTTCATCCATACTAGTGTGAAAAGAAAATAATTCATCAGAATGTGGTGGCGTAAAACCAGAAGAAAAATTACTCTTTTAGAGGAAAAAATTTTAAGTAGTACAGTTCACAGAATCACAGAATCGTAGGGGTTGGAAGGGACCTCCAGAGATCATCGAGTCCAACCCCCTGCCAAAGCAGGTTCCCTACAGCAGGTCGCACAGGTAGGCATCCAGGCAGGTCTTGAACATCTCCAGAGAAGGAGACTCCACCACCTCCCTGGGCAGCCTGTTCCAGTGCTCCGTCACCTCACTGTAAAGAAGTTCTTGTGCACATTTGTGCAGAACTTCCTATGCTGCAGTTTCCGGCCGTTTCCCCTTGTCCTGTCTCCACTCACCACTGAAAAGAGTCCGGCCTCGCCACTCTG